ATTCTCATGAGCCAAAGAAGGCCCTATGCACACAGCCAAGAGAAAGGGTTCTAGCAAGGAGGGTAGAAGCTTCAAGAAAACTGATAGCTGCTATTGGAACAGCCCAAGTKGACAATTTAACATGTAAGTGCCATTTTCCAATCCCCTACCACCACCTGGAAGGAGGTTTGGAGGAAGTTGAGAGTCCAGGAGATTAGTCAGYGCTGTGCCATGAGAACTGCTGTTTGCCAAGGTCAGCTATGAGTATTTACATTTACAAGACAAAAAACAAAACAGCATGTCTTGGAAGTAGGTGCTGTCTTAAGCATCTTGGCTCGTTGCCTGCTAGTGGAACATAGTACTACCATGCTGTTTCTAGTCTTTGCTCATTCCCCTTCATCCGTCTGCCTCCCCTGTAATCCATCTCCATGAAGTTACGCATTTTGAATTASAGGTGGGAAAAACCCAAAGCCAGACAGGGTTTGGTTACAGCTTTATTCCAGCGCAGACCTAGTGTCTTGCACAGGCAAAATCAATTTTAGGTGTTGATAGAATCAGACTTCCAAGTCCTTTTCAGTATTACTGGAGAAGTTTGCAAGYACTGCTTCCCCCTCACAGAGCACTTCATTTTGGTTTCTGTACTTATGGTGTGCTAGTATTTTAGGTGCTAAATTAAGCTGATAATTAATTACCTAGAAAGAAACCACTGTTGTCCAAAGTTATCACACCTTGCACTTTCTTGCTTCGAAGCCTGGCTTGAATTCTCTTCATACTTTGCTGGCCGATAAACTGAAGATCTTGATCAAGTGACATATTTTTGGTGAAACATGGCCTGTAACACACTGAAAGTATCTAGGGCTGCTGATTGGCTGAAGAAGCACTCTCTTGCTGTTAGGTCATGTCTTTCTGCTGAGAGCACTGACTAGATTTCCATCCCTTTGTATCTACAGATATCTTACATCTGTAAGATAACTTTTTTTAATGATCTTCAGATTTTTTTCTCCATCAGCCTCTCAACTGTTTCTTTAGTCTGTTGTTGTCTTTAAAACTTACTTTCTGTAATKTCCTTCTATTTAATCTTCTCATCTGCTTCTTTTTGATACTGCTCCTTCAGGTTGGGGGTTTTTATTTTCCCTACWTGTAACTTGACATGAGATGTCTTCTGGCTCATTTGTCATCCCCCCCATCAAGATGTCATCTTAATCCTATAGTGTCTTTCTCCCACTTTTCCATTACTTTCCCTTTTTCACCTCTGCTCATCAGAAAGACCTTAGAGAAGAAAAGGTGGTCAGCTGCTTCGGGACAGATRTTTCTGTCAGCCCTTCTCTTCAAGTCATGCTGTTGCAGGTTTTTCATTTAAAAAATATTGTAAATATGCCCTCACTTTTTAGTCCTTTCTGTTCTCTTCCTCCTTTTGATGGCTGCTCCTGTTTTGTTTTTTTTTTAAAGACTCCATGTTTTTCTGTCTAGTATCTCTGTTCTTTGAGGGCTGAAAGAGAAGACACAAAACCCCAAACTGCACTGGAATACCAGGTCACACCTGGTGCCTCAGGTTCCTCAGGGCACTCAGCAAGGCCTCAGGTTAGTGATTAAAAAAGCAATTTATCCAGCTGTGCTTTGCAGAGTGGATATGAGGAAAGTGGCCCCTACTTACTAGCTTTTCCTAAACTGTAGGGAAGGAGCCCATGGCTCTGACGCTGCTGTTCACTGTAGCCAGTACTTGGAGAGAAGGGTTTTGAGCAGTCATTGATGCTGGGTCTTTGATGCCAGGCCCATGTTTTTGCATGGAAATGGCTGAGCTTGCATTTATAAGCAACTTCCTTCTATGCCTGTAGGTCCTCATGTTTAGCAAAGTATTTTTAGTCCAGCTTTCACAGAAATGATGTATGGGAACAGGACACGGGAAATCCCAAGTACTTTTTTTTTTAATATCTTTTTTCTTCTCTGAAGCACATAAAGCTTCTTCTAAGAAGCACRTAAAACCTAACCCTGTTCTGCCAGCTATGTGAAAGTAAGCAAAGACAAATTTACCAATATGGCTGTGCATACACTGAAATAGTTACGTACTTTAGCTTCTTGCTTGCCCAGAGAAACCTGAAGCCTTTTGTTTTGAGTTCTCTCAGTCTCTCTCCTGTTGTTCCCTCTGCTTGTTACTGGTAAAATTAGGCCAGCTACTTGGTAAGTGATGAAGAGGGTCACTGTGGCAGGAAGCTGCAAAAGTAGCCACTTCCAGCAGCAGAGTGCAAGTAGTGAGAGGACAAGCAGTAGCCAGTGGCCTCTCTACGGATACAGGGTTTCCTCATGCTGAAGTTAAAAGGTACAGCAGCGCTGGCACTTCAGTTGCAGGCAGCATTGTGCTCCAGCAAGAACTGTCCTGGTTGTCCACACTCATTGTGCTGTGGTTCCAATCTGTGCCGGCAGTCAGTCTCTGCACAGATGGGCTRCACTGCTTGCTAATGAGACTTCCCTACTAGAGAATGCATACCAGGAGCACAGCCACAGCACCCAGCCTTTTGGGGTCCTATTAGCTGGGTTTTTGGAAAATGAGGACCTAAGTAATTAACTTTACAGGGTAGCTTGTGCACTGGACGGGTTTTAATGCAAACTCCATACCATGACCCAYGAACCTGGAGCCTGCTGTCACTGTGTCTCCACCATGCATACACTACAMACGTACCACTGCGCAGTCACTGCTGGAAGCAGCCATCAAGACTGCAAACTTGAGGACTCAGAAGTGCAAACCTTCAGGCTAGGTGTGTGTTAGGATTGTGGGCAGTGACAGGGACAACAGAGAGGGACATCTGACTTTCTGGCTCTGGCAGATGATAGATGTTCCTGCCTCCACAGCGAGGTCCCCCTCTTCCCTCCACCCTGCTGTTCCTTGCTCAGTAGCCTTGAACAAAATCCCCTGTCCCAGCTTCCTCCCTGAAGAGCTATGGGGCCCAGCCCCTTGCTGCCACTTCCTGCCCCTCCACCCCCATCATGAGGAGGTTGTGCTGAGGGAGAGGCTCTTCTCTGTCCAATTTAGTTAGTGYCCTCTGGCTTGGGCCCAAAGTGAACCTGCCAGAGAAGTCCTGTTTCACATCCAGCTGTTGCAATTTCACATGCTTCTTTGTGACACAAGCTGGGGGATGACTATCGGATACTTGTAAGTGGTCCAGCTGTAATGCTGACCTAAAGCATGACCCTGGCAGAACATCTCAGTAAACCAGTAACCACCCTTTTCTCTCTCTTTTTTTTTTTTTTTTTTTAAAGGAGTACTGGAAATTACCAGGGAACTCTGGGTTGAGACAGAGGTCAGATGAAATCTGTGGCAGAAGCATGAGGGCAGGCACCACAAGGAGGAGAGGGGCAGGAGCCACTTTGTCCACCATGGAATTGCACAAGGCGACCCTGGTGACCAGCCTGGAGAACAGAGGTGCCAAGTCTGCAGAGGGACCCCAACTGGAGTGCTGTCCACTTGCCTTGCCCTATGGAGGACACTTCCAGCCCACAAAGTAGTAAAAGAAACCCAGAAAGCTCCTCAGCTCTATTGTTTTGCTGTCCCATGGTTCCTGTGCCTGACAGGCTGGCAMCCGCCCAGAGCCCTCCCTGACACCAGGGGCTGTGTCCCATCTAGTCTAGATAGGGCTAGTGTCCCATCTTCTTCTCCCCACTTCTTACTTATGAAGAAAGTTGTTCTGTCCTCTAATCATAGTGCTTTATTTGTAAGTAGTTGCCAGTGCACCCTGGAGGTTTATTATTAATTCGTGATGAGGAAGCTCAGGAGTCCTCAAACCCAAGGCAGGGACTATATTTATTGGTTCCTCTTTAAAGATAGACCCATTGCCTTTATGGTTTTATTCTTATCTATAACCTGTTATGGAGAGACAGTTATCTTTGATGCTTTTGTTTCAGGCAGCAGACAAGTTTCACCCAATCACAGTTTGTACAGGAAAAAAACCCCAAAGTGAGAAACCCACATATTTTTACAGACAAGTGAAAACAAAAATCCCAGAAAACTAAAGCTTTACAAAATGACAAACAGCTTTAAGAGGTCTATTCACTGCATTTAAAACATTTGCCTGGAGATGGGTGGACTTTCCTTGATTCAGAAACTAGTGAAAGATTATTGCCTTAAAATATTTGTTGGCCCATTGCATTTGGCCCCAGATTTCAGAACTGTTTTCTTTCTAAAGGAAGTTTTGCTGTTGGGTCTGTTTGTCATGCTGGTGTATGAAACCTTTTAAACATCACTTGGAGGCTTCTCTATTTCTAACAGTGACTGTCATGAGGAATTGGTAAGGGGATACAGAACAGATTCAGATCATTATATAAAATTCATTTTGTATTTTCTCTTTGGTTACCTATGCAAGTTCCAAATTAGCCTATTCCTGTCCCTTCGAACCAAGKAAAAGTGCTGGCAGAGACCGTCTCCACCCTGTGGCTGCTGTTTGTGTGCTCAACACAGCCTCGGGCTGTGGTCCTGGCTCTCTCTGATTGCATCCTTTCTCCCACACTAGCAGGATTTTTGGCAAGGACTGCTTTTTGAGGCTGGGTTTGTTCCTGGCCCTTGTCCCTGGCTGGGGCCCTTGTCCCTGGCCAAGACCCTGGATGCTGAGCTTGTTATAAAATACTCATTTTTAGGACACATTTATCATATGAAAGCTCTTATACCGAAGAGGGTCTCTGTGTAGCAATGACTACMTGTGCCAGGTACAGAGGTACTGTGGATGGCTATTTCTCACCACAGTGAAGCTGCCCACCTGCCTTATTATTATTTAGGCCTAATTAGTATTATTAGGCATTCTGGCTAAGATGGCACTGTTAGGACTGTCATGACCCACACTGGTGACAAGCAGCAAGTGGTAGAGGGCAACACAGAAAGAAAGCTCCTTTTACATAGAATATTTCCTATGCKTCAACACTGCTGTAAATAGGGCCAACAAAAACAAGATTTTTTTTTCAAGAGACAAGTGTGTCAAATACTCAGCTTCACAGAGACTGGCAAGTGGCCTAACAGCTCTTCACTTGGGATCTTTTTATTTAGAGGTTGAAACTGGTAAATACCCTGTCCACTCTAAAATGTCCACTGCCATTTTATCAGCAGTCTCAAATGAATTACTATTTGCTCAGCTTCCTGGAAGGATGCCAAAGCTTGACATTAACAGGTACACACCTTTCCTATGGACAASGGGGAAAATCAACCAAAAAGTCATCTGTAGTGATCCGTGCTGACTGCTTTTTCTGAGAAATAGTCCATATAATTCACAACAGGAATGAGATTTGTATCAGCAAATTATTTTAAAAGAAAACACTGATGGGAACAGTCCCCCAGCCTGCACTTTGGTAGAAGGTAAATTCTACACAATTCTGTCCCAGTGATGCCTTACACACACTGGGTGTGTGGAGAGAGGCAGGGTAGGAGTAAATGTGTGAGGACTAGCACTGAGAAATTGTGATGACAATGATGGGGACATCCTTTTCCAAAGGGGAAGAGGAGCTCTGGTTTGTACTGAATCATAGTTTGTTTGCATGGCATTATTTATAATTGTGCTCACACTTCCTGAATGGTAGCCCTAATGGAGAATTACAAATTCCTCATAATCTGTCATGTATCTGAATTATTGACTGTATTTTCACTAGGAAAAATTACCATTTTTGTGACTGATTCAGAACAGTGAACACTGAAAACAATGAAGCACTCTATGTGAAACCTGGCTAGATATTGCCTGTTGGATTGGAGCTCATTGAAGATGATTTGGGAAAATCCACCCTTGATTTCATTCCTTGCSTTTTCCATCACAGGCTGCCACAGACAATTTCAGACATGCCCAACCATCTGCTCCAGACATCCTTGAATGCAGCTGTCCCYGGGGCACCAGGGGAGACTGTGTGACACACAGAGCAGCAGCTCCTCTGGTTTTTGGGGCCCTTCAGTGAGAGCTTCATTTGGAGCCTGTCTGTGGCAGCTCTCCAGGGCAATGGGGATATGTGGCTGATCTGGACAAGATCCTAGGCAAATAATGCTGAGCAAGTCTTGTAACAGCATCGTATTTTGGTCCTCTTGTCACTGTGGTTTCCAAAAGCTGTAAAATTCTCCTTCRTTTCTGATCCTTATCTGTGGCTGTCACTACTGCCTATCCCACATGATGAGGCACTTCACCAGCCATGCAGCAACCCCCTGTGGAGAGAAGGTCCTGTTTCCATTGCCTCAGTTCCTACACCATTTATTCCTCCCTCCTCCTCCTTTGTATTCATTTCCTAAGCTGCCCTAGCTGTCACATCTGCACTGTTACCAGCTGGTTTCCCATTTTTAATTGCCCTCAGAGGGCTTCTTCAAGAGCCACACCTGCTTTTGTGGGGTCCTTAATTTGTCACTGTCCAAACTGGAGCAGCAAGCATTTAAAAGCAGCAAGCATTCAGCCTCTATGAGCGTGTTGTATTTCTTCAAGTGTGTGAATAATTTCTAGGCCTTTACAGGCTGCATTCAGCTATTTCTGCATAAAACAGAGTCTGTCTTCTGCTGGAAAGCTCTCTGCATTATGGATATTTAATATCTCCTTGTCCATAGGACTTGGGTTTGTTCATCCCATTTGTTCTTGACGAAAGAGGTTGTATGAAACGCAAAGAAAGCTCAGTGCCCTATCAAGTTTATTCTTTTAGAGGGGGGAGAACAGTTATTTTTCTTTGTCAGAAGTGTTTTTGTAAGGAACGATGTGAGATTAAGGCAGGAGGGAATGTTTCAGGTAATCCCACCCAGCCTCTGAAGCAGTGTAAGCAAGCAACTTGTATAATCCAGCTCATAAACTGCTTGAATTCCACCTTAAAAGCATTATGCTTTTTAATTTTTTGGTCCTCTTTCATGGCTGCTATTTGAAGGCTGCTTTAAAATTTTAGTTTTTCAGCCCAAAATTATTTACTTGTTATATCTGTGCTTGGAGAATCCTTTCCTGGATGGGCAAGGGGTGCCTTCCCTCTCTCTTACCAAATCTTCTCAGCTGGGATGTGGTTAGCAGGGTTACCCCCCTCTCAGCCCTCAGGCTGAAAACCACATTGCTGGCTACTCTGGCAAGCAAGGAAACAAAGTCTTGCACCCCAAAGCTCAACCTGTATGGAGTACACAAAAAGAGTATCAAGGGAGAGTAAGATGGATGGATGGATGGATGGATGGATGGATGGATGGATGGATGGATGGATGGATGGATGGATGGATGGATGGATGGATGGATGGATGGATGGATNGATGGATGGATGGATGGATGGATGGATGGATGGATGGATGGATGGATGGATGGATGGATGGATGGATGGATGGATGGATGGATGGATGGATGGATACATTGGGAGGCAAATAAGCACTTCCAAAAAATTGATTTTGAATGTGTCAGGGCCTCATTCTGCCCAGGGACCATGTAGAGGGTGGGAGGCACCTGTCAGAACTCAGAAGCAGGATCCTGCTGCGTCACTTGGTATGGCCATGTCCTGCAGTGGTAAAATTAACCTCAACAGGGCACACAGTGAATGCGAATGCACTGGTTGTTTATGTGATACAGGATGAGCAGCACATGGGACCACTGCAGAAAGGTTAGAACTGTCTCTAATGGACACATGGTCCAGTCACATACATTTATGTGACCAGAAGCCTTTGCATGGAGGCAGCCCAGTGAGAGCAGCAGGCTGGCAGGGTGTTCAGCAGGGATTGTGGATGATCCCCTGCAAGCCTGACCTGCATTCCAAAGTGTTTGCAACAGCCGATGCCAGCTCAGCCTCCCTTTTTCTCTCTGGCAAGAAAGCAATGACAGTGTCTCTAGCCAATTTTGAGGTTTAATTGCTATTCACTGAACAATATATCTAAGTGACGAGTAATGTTTTAGTGTATTATTAATTTCTTGAGAAAAACAGAAGGCTGCTCAAGAGCTGTCAGTGTCTACTCTGGCAGCCACAGAAATTTGGTCATGTGGGAGATACCCACATGGTCCCAGCAGAGAATGCAGACATTTCGGGGCTGGCCACTTGCAACCCCTTGGTGAGGGACAGAGGAACATCTCCTGTGCATGCACYGGTGCCCCTTGCTCCTGAAGACTGATACAACCCTGATATTAAAATGCCTCGTTTGCTGCGACCGAGAGAAGATCAAAACAAGCTCCCTGGAGCTCAGCTAAGCCCTGATCCGTGCTGGTGGGGAAGGTGGGCACTGAATTTCCCCCACCTCAACCCACTCTCCCTATCCCTCCTCATCATTCCTTTGGTACCTGTGACAGAGTTCGCCTGTGCTCACAAAAGCTCAGAGTTCCCAGTATGGCACTCCTGGGACATCTGACCCGAAGATTTTGCATTCAACATCAAGCCAAACTGCAAGTGGACGCAAGTAGCAGAGCAAAAGCTGCATCACTCCCCTGCTTCCCTCCCTTTCCTGCTTTTATCTATCTTGTTTCCCACCAGTGGGGTCAGGCTTTAATGACAACAAAGGCAGCTTGAGATGCAGCCTAAGTCCTGAGAGTGGGGAGTGGGGAACACCCAACTGGTTCCTGTCTTGGATCATTCATGGCCACCTACACACGTAGTTCTTGCTGCGCCCACTCATCCTCCCGTGAAACAGGAGCAGGAGCAGGAGCAGGAGCAGGTGGGAGGCTCGCTCGGAATGCTGCATGGAAGCAGCGGGTTTGGGTTACTGCTGAGGAGGACTCGGCCATAGCGCAAAGACTATCAGGGAGCGTTAAGGGGGAGAGAGAGAAAAAGCTGCGATGAGAGACACAGCATGACGAAAACGTCTCAATCGTTASTGTCCTTACTGAGAGCAAGGATTACCTTTATCCCGAAGGCGCTGTTTGCGGGCAGGCCGGCAGGGGGCGCGGCCGGGCCGGGCTCCCGGAGCTGCTCCCTGAGGCCCTGAGGAGCCGCGCCCGCGCCGCTCCGCCCTGCGGCCGGTCCGCTCGGAAAATGGGCCAGCGGGGCCGTGGAGGTGGCGTGTGGGCAAATCTGTGCCCCCTTCTGGGCTCCTCAGTACGAGAGACACACGAGGCTCCTGGAGCGGGTCCGGCGGAGGGCAAAGACAAGATCAAGGGATTGGAACATCTCATGGTGAAACGCGGAGGGAGCAGAGCTGTTCAGCCTTGAAGAGAGATGACTGAGCGACCTCATGAGTAGGAAGGGTGTCAAGAGGATGGAGCCAGGCTCTTCTTCATGGTGCCGAGCAATAGCACAAGAGGCAGCCGGGCAGAACCTGATACAGAGGAAGTTCCACCTGAATGTGAGAAAGAACTTCTTTGTGCTTGACTGTGTACTGGAACAGATTGTCCAGAGAGGCTGTGGAGTCTCACTGGGGAGATTCAAGAACCAAATGGACACCATCCTGTGTCCCTGGGACGACCCTGCTTGAGCAGGGAGCTTGGAACACATGACCCACTATGGTCGCTTCCGACCTGACCCATTCTGTGCTTCTGTGATCTCCACTTCCAGGCCCGTTTGGCCTTTCCTCTGCTCTGCCACTGCCTGTTCCCAGCCTGCCCCAGCCTCCTGAGCCGATGGAGCACATCCCACTGTTTCAGGGCTGCTGCTGGTGGGTGTCTTYGACCCTGAAGTTATCTGCAGGCCCTGTGAATGGTAGATCCTGGTCAGCCAGGGCAGCAGCCTTCATGTGTGGCTGCAGCAAGGTATTCCCCACATCTCGGACAGACACCTGACTGGGGTAAGGAGAGACCAGGGCAGGCTGGCTGGCAGCTCATAATGTTTTCCTGATGAAATTGGACTGACAGAGTGGAACTGGTGTAAGTGATACAGATTTGGGATAACCCCATACTGGTTTATAAGTCCATAGCAATTTACATGTGTTTGAAATATCAGAATAATCCATACAGTTGGTCCCTATAATCCATACAATCCATCTCTATGGAGCTTAAGAATCAGTGTCCAGTCAACTGTAATTCTGAAATGTTCTTATTTTTGGACATTCCCTTAACTTAGATGTGTTTCAATACTTATACAAAAAAAAGTTTTTCTGTGTAGGTGAAAGTTGTATTTTAAAACAGCTGTTAAAGTCTTCTTAGGCTAAAATAAAGGGTTTCAAACCTTCTCTTTCATTAGGCCATGTTTTCTTTAAAAATTCCTGTTGGATTTGCTGCCACCTGCCCTCTCTGCCACAGCCCTACAAGGAAAAGAAGGTGAGGAAATGTTACGTGAAGCTTTTCCAATGCCTTTCACTTCCCAGTGCCCAGAGCTCAATTGGTCTGTGCCTGCCCTTGAGGTGTACAGTTTTACATCTGACAGATGCCATCTGACAGCACCAAGCCTGACAGARTTCAAGAAKCATTTGGTCAATAGTCTCAAGCATGTGGTGTGACTCTTGGGGATGGTCCTGTAAAGGGCCAGGAGTTGGACCTGTTGATCCCTGTGGGTGCCTTCCAACTCAGAATACTCTGTGATTCTGTGATATATTGTAATGTGTTAGTTAGGAGACAAGAAAGATGACCAGCACCAAAAAATTTTCTCCTTCACCCCTTATTAGTGAAGTCCCTGTACTTGTGCAGAGTGCAGGCCAGTGTCCTGGCCAATGGGAAGGTGTCTCCAGAAGGCTGCAGACTGTGCAGGCAATGCAGACTCCATCCTGAGGGATATTGGAGGACTCATCCACTGAGCCTTGGCCAGCTGTTCCATTTGCATGGCCACCATGCTCATTGATAAAAAAGGCTCAGTTTACTTTGCTGTGAAATTGCCATTTTTGGCTCTGTTATGGGGAGCTGACTGAGACTTGTTCCAATGAAGGCAGTCCCTCAGCACCCTCTTTTTCTGAGGATCCATGTTCATGGGACATGAGGGGAGCATCTCCAGCAGACCTTGACAGTACTGCTGGTTCAAAGGGAGTCCTGCTGTGAATTAAAGGACTCATTTGCATACCTGCACTGGTCCTCCATCCACTCCCTGCTCTGTGGTCTGTTAATATAAAAGGAAAAGAAGATAAACTCTACAGAGTAGGCTTGGAGACTTTCTTTTCAATTAGTGTCTTCCATGGACATTGTTGGTTTGTGGAGCCTAAAGTGGACTAGGCACCCCCTTGTCCTTGAGGCCCACAGTGTTGGTTTTTGGGTCTTGTTGACATTTGCACCATCTGCTGGGAAAGGGGGGCTCTGGAAATCCGGAACCTACTGCCCCCTCATACCAGTGACGATGCTCTTCATTTGTGCAAGCAGCTGATGTGATGGTAACACAGTAGACTTAGAGAAGTGGGTCTGGAGACAGCATCCAGGGCTTGCCTCTCTTCTCTAGAAGTGCAAAATGTTTTGTCACGTCCATTGGCTAGTGGGAATTACATATCCCTGGATAGATGTTGAAAAGGTTAAACATTGAGATGCATCTGGAAAAAATGACTGCATATACAAGATACATTATCTCCTGTGATGCATTTAATGTCCTTAATTTACATGCTGACCACTTTGCCATTTCTAAACAATGTTATCATTTTGTCTTTCTGATAATTAATCAGCTCAAGCTTCAAACACTGTTTATCACACTTAGATGCAGCAATTAGACAAGAAAGGCAAAGTGTTGAAGGGAAGGTTTGGGGTTGTTTTTTTTCTTCAAAAGTCTTACAGTATTTACAAAAATGTGTTTTTTCTAACACCATTTTTAGAATTATTCACTCATTCACAATCAGTCATTGTATAAAAACATCATTCAGAAATAGGTTTTAAAATACACCCACCTCCATTGCATAGCATAAAGAAAAACAGGCAAGAGTTAAGACACTTGATTTTTGAATGAGAACGTGAACTGATTCAGAGGTACAATATTTCTGAGGAAGATGCACTCTTCAGAAAATAATGAGCTGTAGTTCTCCTGAAGCAAGTAAGCTTCTTGAAGGTCTGYCATCAAAATTCCCTTTTACAGACCAAGTATCTTCCACCATGCACACAATGCTTGCATTAAGGTCAAACAAATCATATTTCAATTGGATTTACCATTCAGTATTTGCATGTGGATGCTAACAAAAAATAGTTACCTAAAGTACTCACAAGGATCAATGTTGGTTTCCTGTGTCATGGCGTATCTGTGGAACAACTCAATGGACACAATTTGYTCTTTTCAGTTTCTGTTTGTATAACTGAGGAGCTGAATATACCCTTTTACCTTTAGAAACATTTGTTCTGTAAGAAGACCTTGGTTTCTGTTTGCTGGGAAGACTTAAAATGGCAGGTTGTGGAAGGTTTAGCAGGCATTGATGGCATCTATGCTGTTGATTTTCAGAGAAAACTTGGTAATTTAGCTACCTTATCTTTAGTTATCTATGCTGAGCTTTTTTCTTTAAAAGTGTGCTCCAATGATTTAATTGAGCCTGGTCCATTAAAGAGCAACAGGGAACTCTGAACAATAGGTGCTTGTTTTACAGCTACTGCAAATGCTTCGAAAGCACTAAATTGCCTTTTATACTCAACAGTCTAATAACAAAGACTGATCTTTTCCATTTTTTTCCCAATTGATTTGATGGTTCACTTGAGCTTTAAAAACACATTACATAAATCTTTACAACTATTACAGAAGTCTTTTGTCAAGTTTAATTTGGTGTTTGTTTTTTTTTTCTCCACAGTGTAATCATTCACCCTTAAATGCTCTGTACCACATATACCTAGATCGTGCTTGACTCTGGATCCATAAGAGTTGAAAGTCCTAGAGGTTTGTTTTACCTCAGTCCTTCCAAAGGCAGTTTGTCGCTGAAAGCTCCTGGTTCAGAGGTATATCAGATAAAACGCTGTACGCTCCCAAAGGCACTGCCGGCAACAGCTCTATCTTCTCCTGCTATTTAATTTAACTTTGCTGTTACAACTTTGTACTTGAGAGCCCATGGTGGAAATAATCACTAGGATTAGCTGGGAGGGTGGGAGATCTATCAGTGCAGACCTCTCTCCCTGCTGCAGAACAGAGGGAAATGTGCTGGTCATCAGGCAGTGGTATAGAGAGCAAGAGCTGGTAGAAGAGCAGTAAGTGTTGAGAAACCTTCAAAATGCAATTTGATATAAAATATCAAAATGTGAGCAAATGATATTATCTTCACCAAGAAAAACAGAGAGGCTGTTAAATGCCAGGCTTCCTCATTCTGTTTTCTCCTGACCCTTGTAYGCCCAGATGTCTTTGCACTTTCCCACTGGCTTTGAAGTGGAGGATTTCTGTCACTCTGCCCTTTCCCAGGCCTCCCCACCACTGTGGTCCACGAGGAAATCCTGGCCCTGGAAGTGGGCAGAGCCAGTAATTGCACTGGCAAAAATGAAGAAGGAAATACTGAGAGAAGCAGGATGCTCTCACTGCTCTCCTGCTGACCCACCCCTCTCAGCATTATAGAYACTCAGAAAAGCTCTTGGCTCATTGAAGGACAGGTCAGTTCAGACAGGGTTTGGCTGGTGCTGTAAGAAGATGGGGCTCTGCTGCTGACAGAGCTGGAAGGAATGAATCARGATGAACCCAGATAAATGCAAAGAGGTCAGTCTCCACTCCTGAGCTTCTCAGTATGGGGAGCCAGGGTGAGCTCCCCAATGAAAGATGCTGGGGTGACATGTGTTTGATATTCAGAGATCCCATGTGCACCCACCAGAAAACTTTTTGGATAGCCTGCCAGGATTCTGCTCTCATCGCCAGTGCTGTAAGTCAAGGTGAGAAACACCATTGTCCCTGGCTCTGTTTGGAGCAGCACAAAACCTGGCTTCATGTTAAAACTATGGTAAATGGAGGATGGGTCAAATTCACGCCTGGTGGAGCACAATGGAGGAGTGGGGGACAGCACTCTATTAATGAAGCCATTATTCAAATGAAGAACTTTGAAAAAACAAACAGAGAAGGATGGAGTTGCTGGTGACACTGACTGACATTGTTCAGGGATCACAATAAGGAGATCTGCCTGGTGAACAGGGAGAGCAGAGCTAGTGCCAGGACACAGCTGCTGCATGGGGGGAGTGGTGCCAAGGGGGCTGTGTTTCGGAGCATGCACTCCACCCTGGACCAGGAGCCATTGTTGGGCAATGGCTGTATTCCTGCCAGGCTGCACATGATATTGTAAACATCCACGGATCTGATGGGAGGCGCTCGGTAGTTGGATCGGAAATCTGCAGGCAAAAGAGAGGAGATGGCATCATGCAACTTGCATCAGCCCCTGAAATGTGGGGTACTGTGGGGCAAGGGCTCCTATGCCTTTCCTGCGACTTACCCACCAGGCTGGGATGTGGAATGCTATACAATTTACAACAGAGCCCAGCAAAAACATTTGAAACAATTTTATTCATTATTTTTACTTCTATGCCATTTTTTTTTATTCTAAACACTAAAAAATAGCCCTGATTTTTAAAGTACAGGAGCTACTTCACTGTTTGTCCTTGGTAGATTTAATAGCCTGACATAATTGTATTGCACATCCTGCTTTCACTCCTGTCAGTGGTTGCAGTCTGTGCTCTGCCCTGTTTAAAGAGCCTGATGAAGTGCAAACCAGGAGTTTTGTGKCTGCCCATCAAACAGGTGGGTGAGGTATGCTGCAACCTCCCCAAAGAAAGTGCCCTGCCATAGCACCTCTGAATCCACCAACAAAAGAATTCATTCATTCTGAATTCATGTGTTTCAAATAGAATGAAAATGTAGGCCAAAATTTAGGAAAACRAGGCAAATAGATAGTTACTGCATTGGGACATCAGAGAGAGGCTGACCAAATCCCTTCACATCCCTCTGCCCTGTTTCTTCAGCTATAAAACAGATGCAGCACCACAAACCTTCCATAGTGAGGAAATCCTGCCATCTATTTGTAATTTTTGGGTGTCACAGAGTGCTACATCATGGTCCTGACATGCCAGGGGCTGCAGGGATGCAGGGGCAAGGACTGTGGGGCTTCAGGGGAAGTGGAATACCAGGGATGGTGGCAYTGTACCTGGTCCATATGCGAGGAAGAAGCCTCTCATGTCCATGAGCTCATTGTCGTAGCCATGCCAGCCATTCTGCCAGGCCTCCTTCCTCCCTGTCCCATTCTCCCAGTAGGGCAGCTTGTCCCTGCTCTGGGTGACAACAGCACAGCGTTGTTAGTGCCTGCCTGCTGGGCTGTGCTGTGGCATTGTGGGGTGCCATGCTGTGTCTCCATGTGCTGTACCACCCCAGCAGGCCCCCACACTGCGCTGTTACCTGCACAGGAGCTCATCCCCAGGAGGGATGACCCCTGGCTTTGCTGTTTCAGTGAGTAACYGCCTCCCAGCTGAGGGGGCAGGACAATTGATGTAAATTTCTGCCACAAGCAYGAAGTACCACAGTTGTATGTGACATGCGTAAGAAAGGTGCTTCCCCAGAAATAGCAAATGCAGGAGGAGGTAGCGTGCTTTCCATAACTCACCCAGATATCAGGAGACACCTACTCACAACAGAATGTGCAGTCAAAGGYAGAGTCATTTCCATCATTTTTGCTTCCAGTTGAGTCAGAAAACACACTACTTGCTTTCTTAACTGCAGCTGAAGTGAGAGCTCATGAAAAAGAGCCACTAACAGCAGTAGCTTCAAGGACAGGGCTGTGCAAGCATCCCAGCACTGCCCTTCTGGAGCATCAGGCTCTGCYTTACAGCAAATCCCACAAACTCCTGGGACTTCTTTGGGACCAGGGCACTGGCAGCACATTGATGTGCCTGTTTGACAAGTCCAAATGGGATGCAGGACTTGGCTGAGACATAATTTTTCATGCCCAGACTAAGCCTGGGATAGCGATGCTCCTCAAAGATTAAACAGGCATATGTGAGTCTGCTGAAATGGACTTTTCCCTGCGTGTGCATGTTTAGAAAATGTACTGCAACTGATCCCTAAATGTGGAGAAAAGTACACCGGGATGGTTACAGAGTGAGCACACAATCTGAGGGGGTTGCACACAGTAGAGCAGCTGGGGGAGCTTCCACTCAAAGGACAGGGACCACCCACTCATATAAAGGGTACGAGGTAATATAAGCAGATCAGCTTTGATACAGTATAAAATCCCTTCTCATCTTGMTTTAACCAAAATGTTGATGGGCTTTAGTTCCTATGCTCCTTGATGAGGAAAACAACTTTCCACAAATTTTCCTTTTGTCTCTTTCAAAAAACAATAATAAAATCCCCCTTTTCAAAGAGCTTTTAGCTATCTTCTACCCAACAGAGAGTTAAAAAAACCCTGGGAGCATGACAGGGAAGAGCTGCACATCCTCTCTTCAGTGGTTTGGGCAGGAAGTATAATAGAAGGCTCAATTATTGCTTTAAAAATATGACAGGAAACTTTCATATTCATATCCCATTCACATATAATGAAAATGTACCAAAGAGAAAGAAAATCTGACAGCATTAATGAGAGGACATTCTTGAAAAACAGAAACAATGGGAAGGAATGGGCAGAGAGACAGAAATAATTATCATAGCAGCAGTGTTTGCTGCACTGTTATTAAGGTTTGTCAGAGTTTCAATGATTTTTAGAGTGCTTTTTTTATTTTCTACAGAATAGGTAAAAACRTTCTGTTTTGAACTTTTGTACAAGAGTTTAGTTGAAATTTTTAAAAATAATTTTGGGAAAAATGTTTCAGATTCCTACTTTACCTGTCTGAATCTTAACTCTGGCTTTTTAAGAGGTGCATATTTTATTTAGTGTGAAAACTCTCTCCATGTRGGGGTTCTCTGCTTAACAAGTTCCCAGATTATCAGCACTTGCACTGGGCATCTCTGAGGAGTAAACCACCAGTCTGACCTTTTTGAGACTGGAAGGCTTGGGAGAAATGGGGCATCTTTAGGACATTCTGGTGCGTGGAAAGTCAGGCAGAAGGAAAAGTTGCCACAAGATACTGCTGAATGGAAGGATAGTRAGGACTTGAAATGGAAACACTCTTTGTGCCTGAAATGAAGGTAGATGGCAGGGGGACGAAGAGTAAAGCAACAGAACCCAAATGTGAAACTGCTCCTGCTTTGTGACAACAGAGAAAGAAGGGTTATCTTGACTTATAACTGTCTACCTTCAGGATAGCTGCAGCACCTTTAAGTTCTTTTAAGCTCACAGCAGTATTTGACATTATTTTGTAGTCAGCCCATTGACTTTAACTCAATGATCAGCAATATACTGCACCTTTTCACATTCCTGTTTGAGTATTTTGCTTCTATACTTTACCTCTACTATGAACCATCCTTCTTCAGCCACAAGAGTTAGTGGAGATACAAATTTTCCTTTTTTGTAGAAAAACCTGTTTGGAATATCCTCTTTGTTATAAACATCCATGTGTTCCACAGCTTTCAATTTTTGATATATCTGTAAAGCAAACAAATGTTAGGATGCCATGTGGCTGTAAAGGTCATAAATACACCCATGGGTACATGGAAACACCTGAATTTGCAAAATGGCTAATCCCCTGTAATGGCTAATCATCAGTGCATTCAAACCGGATTTTGCCTRTCCAAAGATCATGATTGGACAAAACATGCTTATGTGGTTTAGGAGATTCTGAAAATTTGGGTTATAAACACATAGGAATGCATAAATTGATGTATTATGTGTTATTATAATACATACATTAACAAATCCATATGTGTGAGTATACCAGCCTACAGGAACAGACCAGGAGGCAGTAAGTGAAGTGGTGGGAGACACTCAAAGGCACCATGTGGACTGTGTACAGATGTGGAAAAGCCATATTGTCTTTAGCCTCTGCCACTCATTCCCTCATTGTGCTCTTGAGTGGAGAATTCATGCCACCTCACCTGTGTTTCTTGCACTTAACCAGTCAATCACTATCAAGGGAATGACAGTGCTCAGTTATCTGCTTCGTTAGTTATCTGTYGTGAGATTATTTAGCCAATGCCTGCAGCTTTGAATCTGCACAATGCCATGTAAGTGGTTTATTAATATTAATGACACTGTCTGGAATATAATCACACAAATGTCATTACACCCCACATTATTCAGAAAAAATATTTCAAATGCCTGAAGAAGGTGTTGCTATGTCATAAAGAAGGCAGCTATTGGAGTACCCAGACTCCATATTTTTCTTTAACAAGTTAAATATAAATAATCTTCAGGAATAAATAGCTCAATTCAATGAAATGTTCTTCACTAGCTTTTTCGCTAAGTCACCCTTGTGTGTATATGTGTACCAGAYATATGCACTGATGTGCAGTGACCATGAGGACAACACCAGGGTGTGATGACACAATTCCTCCCATGTCCAGGAGTAGAGAGTGGTCCTYGTGTTTCACCAATACTTCTGGTGCTTCAAAAGGGGGTAATTCTTAGAGGTGTTAATCATTATGTTACAATGCACTCCAGCTCATAAATAAAGATCTTTGAAATTAATTAGAAATAGAGAATSTAACTATTGGGAAACTGAAAATCAACTTTATTTTGCTTAACAGGCAGCCCTCCAGTAAGAAATCCTAAAAAGAAATGAAGGAAAGAAATAAAAACATAGCATAAGGCATTGTACTTTACTGTCCTTAGGGATATTAGGCTGTTTAATGAGAAAGAAGCATATGCTGAAGAGTTTTGTTGGATGAAACCCCATGACTGCATGAAATCTCAACCTGCCCTTGTTTGAAGGTCTGGCCTACAAAACCGGGGGGCTCTGGGTAAAGCATATAAGTGCTGTGATCTCCTGTAATGCACTTGTGAGTGCATGGCTCATGCATGCCTTTAAGACAACTTTCAGTTCTGGCACTAATTTGAAATGTTCACAGTATCACAGATACACAGTTCTTGGAGAGACTCTTTGGGTGCAAAGATCAGCAAATACTCTCTTTTAAAAAATCACATGGGCTACAATATACTGTTACTGGGTAAAATATAATATCGAAACCAAAATTATTCACTGGGGCACAGCCCACCCATTTTGTACCTCCACTCATCTGTATTCTGAGGACAACAATAATGACTTCTCATGCACTGGTTTCTGGTTAGACTATAATGTACTAGTCTATTAGTCAGTGATACTAAATTTTCATTCTTTTCAGGTGATTTTCAACTTTTTTTCTCTATTGTTTTAATTTATCCCTCAAAATCCTGAAGTTCTAGCATTAAGCTTTTATAGCTGACTCAATCCAACATGCTTCATCAAAAATTCCTCAAAGGAAAATATTGTAAAAAAATTTTTTTGGCAGTTCTGGTCTAATGGAGTTGATTCCTCTGTGGGAGTTTACTGGAGTATGAATACCTGAACCTGCTCCAGATAATTTGAAAATCCCTTCTAGAATGTCAATAAATTGATTAATATATTTAAAATCCTAAAAGTGGATTTTGAGCTAAAATCTTTTTGCTGTATATTAGAATCTAAGAGTGGTGGGGTTTAAAAGCATGTGTCCTTGCCATATAACAGTGAAAGTTCATGCTTTTAATTTGCCCGGTGTGACTTTCATTTGAAAACCAGCATCATAAGGATGTCAAGGGATCCAAGTCTGACTCCTGACAAGAGCTGGTTTGTGCACACTTTTCTGAGAGCAGTATTTGGATGTTATGAGGAAACAGAAGACACAATTGGCATAAAAACTGAGAAAACACAAAAGAGGTACAACTAGGCTGTACTCACCTCTGCATGCTTCTCTGGAGCTGGCCAGAGACTCACAACAGGACCTCGGTCTTTCATTTGTATGGTATGACTCATATTGATATAGTTTTTCAGCTCAATCACTTTATCTGCCCAAGAGATATCTGTCATACCATGATCAGAGAAGAGGAGGACATTGATATGGTTCTGAAGGCCTTTGCTCTGTGAAGCAAGTGCATGACAACCTTTAGGGCCAGGTAGGAGCTTTGCATTGTGTGTGCCTGCTGGAAAATTTAAATCACCATTTGACATCTGCTGATTCTGTGGAAGTTGGCTGGAATGATCACGTCCCCAAATGTCTTGCAACATGCTTTGCCACCACCCATCCTGGTGGGCACCCACTTCCATTTGGTGCTCTGAAAGTAGTCTGAGAGGTTAGCACCACAGTTTTTCCAAAATAAGTATGGTCAGCAATTTTGCCATGTTACCACTTGTGGAAGGGGTGTTTCTCTCTTTCCCTCCCAAACATGAGCACTTAGCATTACAGCTTTTAATATTCAGTGAAATTGAGGATACGTATTCCTCTCTTCACTGAAACACATAAAAAACTCCTACATGCATTTATCATTGTCAGAAATATTCATGGAATTGCCATTTACCCAAAAGCTTTTCTCGCTGCAAAATCATTTAGATAATTTTTTTTTAAAACCAAGTTTAAAGTACAGAGTTCTGAATACTGCCATAAAAACCACTATAAAAGTTAATTGTCTGTTTCCACAAACCTTAGGAAACATACAGTTTTGATTCCTTCGCCGACAATAAAGTTCAGCTGGCAACACCAGTCATAAACAGAGCAGTGCGTATATTGGTTTGTGGCTTCCTGGGGCTATTGGTATAAATCCACCAGGAGGGTTATAATGCCATCAATGAAAATAACGATCAGGGTAATGGTGCCTTGACTTCCACATGATCTCAGTAGCCTGTTTCTCAGGCAATAAAAGTTTACATTCACTGCATTCAGTTACAGGTTTAAATAGGCTCTTGGCAATGCCAAAAAGAGCAGTTTTAAAGGCCTTTTCCAAAGGCCCCCAGGAGCTGGGTTTTTGGATGCCACTCACCTTGATGAGTGAGATCATGTGGCTCAAGGCTTTGTCCACTTCCTTCAAAGCGTTCTTCCGCTGCTGGGACCGAGGGCCGTAATGGTGGCCTTCCACATCAATGCGCTCGTAGTACACTGCGGCCATCTCAGCACTGCCATTGCTGGGCATGGGAGAGAGGGCAAACAGTGAAAGGCTGACACAGACAGAGACCTCCTGATGCTAGTGTTAGTGTTTTCCCCAGCATGTAGACACATAAAATCCTGTTTGCTGCTTCTACCCTATGCGGTCCTAACACTATTGCAGTGCTGGGCTCATTATTCACACCCAGAGTCTCCTGAGTTTGCCTGAGACTCCCATCAGAGGTGGCAGGTAGAGACTGCCATGTGCAAGCACAGGCTGGCCTGGTAGTCCTTTACTAACCTCTTTGAATTGGGAAGGCAGCTTTCCCTTTAATAACAAAGAAATTTTGATTTCTGTGCTGAATGCCCCTATTAAAAGGATTGTGGGAATTACCAATCAAATGKGCTTTAATTAAGTTTGGCACTTCTGGCTTTCTCCTGTGTGAGGTCTTCCAAACCACAGAGGTCAACTCAGGATGTGCCCTTCCGTGCAAAATAACAAGCAGTATGAATTGAGGTAAGATTTTAGAAGGGGGTTTTGTTCAGGAATGTGAACAAGGTAAACTAAGGTAATCTCGGAGTTGCACAAGTTTAGCTGATCACACTTTTCTGCACTGATTGGTGTCAGCCTAATTAGTGGGGATAGCATATAAATCAGTGTTTAATTTAATTTTCATGACCACTTTACAGTTCACTGTAAATCTCCCTGAGAGAAGCTGTGTGGGTAAAATCACAAACCTATGCTGATGAAGTTCAAACCCAGGCTTTTTGTGCTATAATTTAATGTATGGCAGAGYGTGCCATCCATAATACATGTTCTCATCCAGATGTAGGTCCCTACAAAAAGACTTGTTATGTCCTGACAGGTCCAGTGTGTCTGTTAAAGACACCTGGGTAGGCTGGTGTAATGAGTGGGACAGAAGAGGAAAATCAGAGGTGAGGGACTTAGTGAATTAATTATGGACTGTGATTTGCATTTCTCAGTTTGCAGAAGGTCTCAGAGGTGCAGTCCAGTGAGAAGCTGAAGGTCTCTGCTATGGTGGGAATTTCTCCACTGCTGGCCCTGCAGATTAATGTAGCTCTTCACACTTCAAAATTTTAAAATAATGTAAATTAAGCAGCCCTCCCCTCTCCCCAGTTTCATTTTAAGCATTACTTTCCATCTTTATTAGGCATAAATTATTTTCTAAAATTTAACCCTGTCATTTGTCTACTGCATATACAGTTATTGAACCTACTGCAATCATTCTTTTCTGCTGCAGTGCCTGTATTAAATGGCTGMTTAAACTAATTTGTCTTCTCACCTGTAACTAAATTATAATTTCGATCAAGATAGAAGCTAATAAGGAGATTTATTGCATAAAACAAATAATCTCATTTAGGCTCTGGTGAGATTTCTCCCTTTTTCTTCCTCCTTGTGTCCCCCAGTGAGGGCTCAGTACTGTAAGGAAGAATATTTACTTCAATGGGACAAACTGCAGTTTGCAGGATTTGGTATAGCACATCAGAAGTTTGACTTTGTTTCCATTTTTGCCTGTCTTTCTAAGGAAAAAAGAGGGTTCTCTAAGTTTTCTAAGGAAACCCTGATCATGGCTTGCATGGGAGAAGTATTTTGTCTTTCTAACTATGTGTTAGTCCTGTATTCTTCCATCACCAGTAGCTTTCCAAATAAATGATTAAGAAAAGATTGCTGAAGACAGCTGGACAGCATTGATGGCAAGACTAAAAATGGTTTTATATTCTACCAGCATACTTTGCATTTATGATGCAGACTTGATGACACCTGTCCAGGAAGCTAGATAGATTACAACAGCCCTTAAGTTACAGTTGTGGAAAAGATACAAGGGAGGTTTTAGTTTCACTTGCCAAAAACAGATGCTTGACTTTACTTTGAATATTATTGGTCTAAATAGTGGTCTGAATAAACCCTGAAGGATGATTTCCTTTGGTTGCAAGTGAAGATCAGTGGTTCCCTGATAAGTTAGATACTTCTGTCCTTGCACTGATGAAACTTTTCTGCTTCAGTGAAGTGACGATGGGTCAGGATGTTCCTTTGCTCAAACCCTGGGACACCATGCCAGAATAAAGGGCTTGTTCTCTCTATCCTGGAGTCCCTGCAAGGCTTGCTGATTGTGGGAGCCTAAGTGCAGYTCTTTAACTTCTGATACCTGTCATTAGGGCAACTGGGCAAGGCACTGCTCCAGCCAACAGATTGACCTTGCCACAGGCTGTTTTCTCAATATAACTAAGGACAGTCTCAGCCTAATGGGCTTTTCCAATTATCTGGGGTGTGGAAAGCAAACACATGGGATTTGCCAGCCTTTGAACAGCTTCAAAAGTCAGATGCATTTGCAAAAGACAAAGATGACAAGCTCAAGACTCTTCTACTCAGAGATGTTAAATCCTGCTAAATGAATATGCCTACAGTAAAAGCATTTCAAAGGCTTTACTTCTTAAGGGCTGGCCCAGCAGTATGGAACTTTTTCTTCTAAGTCTTAAAGCAATAAACAAAGAGGATGAATAAGAGAAAGAATAAGGAAAACCTACCAGATTTTTAATGGTTAATTATGTTAATTCTCTACCCTCCCTTCATTCTTTAAGTCCCTGCAGTATTTACACCCAAACCTGATTATTAATTTTATCTACAATCATTCCCTTTTCCTCTTTGCTGCCTTGTTGGAGATAGGGCACTTAGTTTAAAGAAAAAGAACTTGGGAAGAAATTCACCAGGAATGGTGTGCAAACAGGCACCAGAGACAGGACCTTCGGCAGCTCTGAGATGATCTGTAGGATTTGGGCACTTCAGAAGACTGTAGCTGGTATCTATGTCAGACATCTTGGTGGCAGGAATTTGCACTTTTCTTGAAACCATAAGCTCTTACCTCTTGCAACTTGGTTCACCAACAATGCTGTGTCCTTTTTMCACCACAGACAGCAGCAGGCAGCCTTGTGGCTTGGAACGAATTAGCTATTGAAACTCTCTAGCTACCCAAAATAACAGCTTGAAGGGTTGGAGCTTTTAACAGTTTGTGCCTCACTTTTAACCATGTTCACGATTACAGAGCTGATAACCAGCACTGAACAGCCTTACACACTGTTCCATAGAAACTAGGCAGGAGGCTTCAAGTATATCTTGACCCATCCCAAAATTATATCAGACCCAAAAAGCTTTCTACAGTAATTCTGGGTTTCCACCGGAAATCAGAGCTGATGTCTGTAATACATCCTCCATTCCCTTTTTTTATTCACTGAATTAAAAACACTGGAAAGCTCCAGAAAGCCTCCTATATCACATATTATTTCCTCATGTCACATGCAGGTATTTCAGAATGAAACCTCTCACATGGTCTTAGACACCTTCTGTCTAAGCCCATGCTGCAAACAACAGTGATTTGTAAGCATCTGTGCAGCAGGACCCAGTGTGCAACTGGGAGCAACATCTCCTACAGCGTTCTCATCATATTCTATTCTATTCTATTCTATTCTATTCTATTCTATTCTATTCTATTCTATTCTATTCTATTCTATTCTATTCTATTCTATTCTATNCCTATCCTATCCTATCCTATCCTATCCTATCCTATCCTATCCTATCCTATCCTATCCTATCCTATCCTATCCTATCCTATCCTATCCTATCCTATTCTATTCTATTTCCTATTCTATTCTATTCTATTTCCTATTCTATTCTATTCTATTTCCTATTCTATTCTATTCTATTCTATTCTATTCTATTCTATTCTATTCTATTCTATTCTATATTCATCTTTGCATGAAATGAATACCCTCTTCAAAACTACTGTGCTTGAGATGCTCTAAAAAGATAAATTTGAAGCATCTGTCTCATAAACAAGTGACTGAAGCTGAATGTCAGAATTTCCAAAATTCCCTCTTTATATACAAGCATTTCAAATTCCCTCTCCAAATCCAAGCATTTCAAAGTATTTTCTTGAAGGTCAGTAAATAGACATGCACAGGCTCATCCCGAAGATATTTAAAACAGCAGATTAAAAGTAGCGAGTCAGAATGTCTCTTTGTTGTAGCCTACACAGAAAGAGAGGAGCACATCTTTCCTCCACTCTTGATGTAAAGGTCTATTACTGTTACGGAAACTGTTGTTTCTATGACAGTACTACAAACTCAGTACTACTGAGCCCATCCAGTCTCAGCCCCTGTCTTCCTACCTGGAAGTCCATCCTGAAAATCTCCCTGATAGCAAATCCATATACTTGTCCTAGAGCGAGGAAACTCCACATCACAAAAATCTCGTGACGTACCACAAAGACTCAAGGGCATCAATGATGGCATCTGCGAAGTTCCTGTCTGTTGGGACGCTGAAGTACTCGCGGCARTAACTTGGTCTGACTCCAAGGATTTCAACCTCACAACCTACAAGCAAATAATGTAGTAAGCTCTGCTATTTCGCCTTGATCACAGACCCCACACCATGGTGTCCAAGTTCAGGTCTGTAAATTCCCCGTGAAATTACTTACCTTATGCCTTCCCTGCAGGAAACCATGAGGTTCGCAAGGGAGAAGGGGAGGAGGTTTGGTTTGATGAGTGCTTGTAGCAAACTGTATATTGGATAATTTTATTTCCCTCTCTAAAAGGAAAGTCTCCTTGTGACCTTCAAGCAATAAAATGTTTGATTCTCTCATGGCAGACCATTTCCACCTGAATCACCAGCTTGTTTATATTTTACCTACTGTGGCCATATAACCTCATTTCCAGGCTTCCAGCATAATAGACTTAGATGTTGTTCTCTGAAAGTTCAGCAACTACTTTCCAGTTAGACACATACTGTATCTTGCATTGTAATATCCTCTATGAACTGTATTTTATTATGTGATACTGGCTCTCCACTATTAAATCTGTTTCCCAGGAGGTCTTATTAAAGCACTGTAAACCAATTAACTCTCTTAGTTACTTGCAGCTTTCCTTGCAAAATAAAGTCTGTTTTGTGGCCTAAAAATTTATGGCAACAAATCCTAGAGGAGAACATGGCCCTGAACATAGAAAAACATGGTTTTGTGAGGTTTCTTTGCCCTTTTGCTCTCCAGTTACTATGCTGCTGAATAATATTAATATTTAAAAGAAGTATGCTTCCAGAAACAGTGGATTCATGAAAATTATCATTCCAGAACACCAGAGTCCTCCCATCACAGTTAAGCGTTTTCTGATGTTTACTGGGGCACAAGGAGGAAGAAAAACCAAAAAATCCCACCTATTGGAAAATGACCTCTGTACASAGCAACACAGTCTGGTCAAAAAGGCAATGCTAAGCCAAAGCCTGAATCTGTCTACATCTGGGTCCCTCTGCCTCTCCTTTGGTATGAAAGTGATAGGCATTAAGGACTGTCATAAGCTGGCTTGTTGCCTGGGGCATGGGAAGGAGGTGTAAGTATGGAGAGAGCCCTGGAGCAGCAGAACTACTGTCAGAGGTGATTTACTGGGACACTCAATAAAGAGAATCTGTCAGTCTTGCATCTCAGCCCCCATGAGCTCACATCACTGAGGTGCAGTACTGGGACACAGGGAAAAGCACACTGCTTGCAGGCCAAGCTGGCTGAGAGACTTCTGATTGTGACTGTTCAGGAGTTTCATGAAAGTCTAGGAAAACTTAAATGTTTAAGCTTAGAAAATTTTAAAAATCTGATTTCTGGAAAGCCAGATAAGTCAGATGGAAATTACCCTTTCCAAAAGTTAAAGAGCCATAGCACACATGACAGATTCAGTCTCTTCACCTGTGGTAGTAGCTCCCAGGTCTCCACATGCTTTGTGTGTTTTAAGGGGCACCATCTATTAAAATTAATTATTTATTTGCAGTAATAAACTTCAAATGTATTCAACTTATTTACTTTCCTGTAAAGACACATTTGCCTACTCTTGAACCTCTATCTAATTTTCATTTCTATTAAAATTGTGGGATAGTGCTTACTTCTCATTCTCCCCCTGTTGCCCCAAACATATGATTTAATCCTCCCCTTTCTACAGGAAGATACTTTAGTGTTTATCTCTGCACCATGATCCACCATGAAAGTTGTCTGCAACCTGGATGAACAGCCAGCAGATTACTTGACAAGAACTGTCTGTCTGGATCATCCCACAATAAAACCTCTRTACACCTGCACATAGCATGCCCAAGAAATTACACTTTGCAACAGAGACAGGTCCCAGCTGATTCCTAACCAAATAATCAGAAAAATGTATTTCAAGAATGGCCTGAAGGCATATCCAGGAAATCCCCTGCCCTGAGGGTGCAGAGCTTCAATCTTTTACAGGATGTCCTGGGTGCTGCCAGCAGCAAAACATGGGCTTTCAGCTACCTCAGATCCTAGAGGTGATGCAGTAATCCTCTGGGCTTTGCTATTTCAGGACTGAAGTGGAACTTTGAAACCAATTTCTCCTCTGATACCGGAGTCTGGCTCAAGATTGTCTCCAAAACCAGGCAAGAAGTTAAGAATGCATTTGGAAAGTCATTAGAAATGCCTTGTATTTCAGTTCAGATGGACGTCTTCTCAAAGTCAGTGACTAATATGATCCTTTTGCCTCTTTTTTCTTCAGATTCTGACATCAGATTGTAATTTTCTCAAATAACATTCCTCAGAATTAGTCATGAGATAATTTTAACTGGAAGCATTAACCTCTTGGGGATCTGGGATATTTTAGTTGCTGAGATCTCTTTGCTATTTCTAGATTGTCAAGTGATGAGCATGATGCAAAAGACTACAGGGTAGCAACAATTAGAAACCTTTTTGGCTGTGAAACAGTGGCCTTAAAGTGTGCAGTTCATTGACAGTACCACTGGAAATTTAAGTTACTTTGACACTAAGAGCTTCCTTTTCCCTTTTTTGTTTTTTTTTAGCCTCTATGATCAATTAAATTTAAATTTGGATTTTTAATGTTAAGGCTTGTTACAAGTCCAAAATACTGGCCATAAAGACCCTTTAAAATTTAAATTTGATTTTGGCAGAGGCCAGGACAGATGGTAAATTTTCTCATTTAAATATTATGGGAAAGGAAATTTAAACAGATTTGAAGCCAGCCAAAGGGAATGCTAAGTTTTTCTTGGTTAAACTGCAAATAGTTAAGCTGTATTTACTACCTTTCTGCACAGTTCTGTGTGATGCTAAACCTTTATTTAAAAATCCGAACTACTGGTGCAGGAATAAGGATTTCTTTCAATGTGATATATAAGTTCCTCTTTATCTATCTGACATGGAGTCCTGAACCTCTGCCAGGTTTAAATTGCATTTCTAAACATTTATTTAACAGTTGGACACTTCATGTCATAACAGAAAGTTTTGAAAACTTTCCAGACTAGCTGAACAATCTCGCAAATGTTGTGTTGAAATGGCAAAAGTTGAGTTTAGAGTCTTTTTTCCCCCCTCTGTCTCTCATTTCAGTGTTCAGAGAAGTTGTCACTGCATTTAGCTGAGGTAGTTGCACAGGCTGCTGGAAAATGAAGGAGCTTGAGCATCTAGGATGATGCCACTTACTGGGTTGAGGGTGAGGACCTGTCCAATGCTACTATACATGAGGGAGGAATGTAGGGAAGAAAGTGAAGCAGCAGAGTTTGGGTTCAGACTTTGCAAAGCTTGGAACTGGCTCTGAGGAGGAAATRGCAGTGGTAAAAGTTAATCCTGGGAATTAATACTTTGGCATTTCCTGTGCTTTCCTGTTGTAGTTGATTGATCTCATTCGTATTCACTGCTGGCTAAAGAGAAAATAGTATCTTCCAGAACAAAGTGTGGTGAATTTGATTATTGCATGTCCTATTAAGAGTTTCCCAGACTTTTCCTGTTTGGATATTTATCATATTTGCAAGATTCATTACTAAGCAGCAGTGTATCCTCAGGCTGGACAGCTAATCACTAATAGCAGACCATATGTGGTGCAAATGTCTGTGGGACCTCTACTCACCTTGRTTATTAAATCTTGGGATTTTATTTTCGTTTTGTTTAGCATTGCTCCCCATTCAAATGGCTTATTAAGAATTTAAGCTTTAAAATGATAGATCTGGAATTTTTAGAAAGACTTTTTGTCCTTACAGTGGAACTAGAAAACAATTTTAAAAAGCATATGGGGAAAGTGTAATGAATACCGTTGCATTTGGAGACACTTCTGTTCACCCCAGTTATACCTGGAATCCTACTGCAACCCTGTGTTTTAGTTCAGTAGTTCCACATTTCACCCTGCTTGCCTGACCGTGTATAGCCAATGTGTCCTTTGAGACCTCTAATACCCTTAAAATAAGCATGTGCTTCAGTATTTGCTGCTGAAGCCCTGATGGCTTAGCCAAAGGTCAGCCATCACAGATAAATAATTAAGGACAGACAGAGGTACATGTCACAGTCCACAGCTAAAATGCCAGATCCATGCAAAAAATTCTCCCCTCTCTGCATTGAGCAGAGTCAATGCATACACTTGGCAGCATAAGCACAGGGAAAAGGGAGTGAAAGGTATACATATATACATACCTCATATGTCTTCTCCCTGGGAAACACAGCTCAAAGAGTAGCATGAAGTAGCTAGATAATGCCCAATGACATTTAATGGAGAGTGATACTGTTTTTTTGGATTTCAGCAGCTCTCTGCAGGCTGCTACATCTACTCAATACATAATTATACTATTGAGAGCAATTGCAAYAGTAGTTGAAAATGAATAGTCTACAGAAAGAGGTATTACTGTAAATTTTTCCAAGAATTCCTACATTCTTGTATAATTTCTATTTCCTACTATTTGCCTTGCTGTTAAATTACTTGGGATATCTTCAATAAGAAGCAGCATTTTCTCAAGGCTGATSTAAACCCTTTGACTGCCTCCGAGTCCATAAGGCAATATTGTCACCCTCAGATCTTTTTTCTTCTTCTTCAGTGTAGAAACACTCTGGATGGCTTTCYAGTGTTTTTCATTTCGGTTTGCTCTTTCTTCCCATTCCTTAGAATCGTGGGCTTTTTGCCAGGACACCATTAGCCACATTGCAYTGAAAGACTGTGGCCAGGCCATGTGCATTGGGATGCAGAGACAAGCTGGCCAGGAGCCCGTGGCGTGAGTCAGCTGCCACTGCCCTGCTGGCACTGGCTGTATTCAGTACAGCTGTTCTGACAGYGCTGGGGTCCTGCAGCCTGCACTTATACATATGAGGACATCTGCAGACTGCTTTCTATAGGTAGCAGAGTTAGGAGGTAAAAAAGTTGAGGATCTGGGTACTTTACAAGGGATTTTGTCRGGTTGCACAGCTGGAACATCTATTTCCATGTGAGTAGCTAAGTACAATACTTCTGTGTCTTTAAAAGGAGTCATTATACATCCCTAGTTATTCCAGTGGTCTGACATATAACAAATGAGGAACAGAAAGGCCAAGTCCCTCCAAATGAATGGCTCAGACTCAGAGCAACTGGAACCTCAGATGAATTAACAATGAAGGAGGACCAGAGGACAAGGATGCTTTGCTTTCAGCTGGATTTTGTTGTCGCCACAGAGCAGATCATCTTTATCTCTCAGCTACTAATTTCCAGACTAAAACCAAAGAAGCAGTGAGGAAGGGTGGTTACTCTTTGACTTTGATTGGACCATGAACCATGCATGGAGCAACCCCTCAGCACAGCAGAAGTCACAGGTGGGCAAGAGGAACAAGTAGTGGATGAAGGAGGAGATGTTCTTCAAGCCAGCATGTTCCTGAGGCTAGCATTTAGTGGAAAGCTGCCTCTAGTGACTCTCCAGTCTTCTCCTTTTTAAGCATATGCAAATGATTGAGGAAAAGATAATTCATTTCTACATGTGGTTAGTAAAGCACATAAAATTCTTATCTGTATTTCAGAAATGTATTAGAGAGACATTCCTGCAGCACATGGAGTGCTCAGATGTGAAGATGCAACTTTTCACATACTAACCTGGCCAGTAGTACATGGAAACGTTCTTTTTAGCTTTCATCATTGTGACCCACAGAGGCTCTGATCCATTCCACCAGAGAGGCAGCAGGCTTTCTTTATTCACACCAATATCAAAAGATACATTTGCCTTCTGGTCCCACATGTAGTTTCCTGTCATCTGATGGACCTCACAGTGGCGACCTTTGAGATTGGAGAAAAGAAGCAGCACAATCAGATTGGTGTTCTTCAGCAGAAGTATGGCACCTGCACCAGCACTGCTACTACTGGGTCATCCAGCAAATCAGCTGAAAAGCTCCAACTTGAAATCAGGGATCTCTGACCTTGCAGTCGCTCATACAATCTCCCTAACTCTTACCTTTTACTGAGGTGCTCCAGTTTGCTCACTGAATCCCCCAGTTCAGACACCCAAAAGTTAATTCTGAAGCTTGTCAGCCCCCATTTTCCCTTCATAGTCAATGGATCAGAAGAGTCATAAGAAAGCAATTCATTCTGCCCTAAGACAGGCATCTCAGGTATCTAGAGGTTCATATGCTCTCTATAAATGGTACAGAAACATCACAGCCTTTGCTCAGTTTCAGGGAGCCAGATTCAGACAGTTGGGGCCAGAAGAAACAAACCTTGCACCACGTGGCCTGCTCAACATTTCGAACCCAGCCCCCACACACCAACCACATCTACAGCAGCCCATGGGTGCCACATGTTTGGCTGAAACCTGGTTCCTTCTACKTACCCAAAACCTGACAAATCTGAGGCCATTTTAAGGTACTCATCAGCACTCACAGTCAGAGGGTGGTGAAAAGCAGGCTCTGAACAGAAGCTCGTAAAAACACAATCTAGAAACATAAAGCTTGAGAAACTWGCATTTGTCCTTTCTTTATCCCTAAGGCACATTGTTTTTCTGCAAACAGGCAAAAACTAGCCAAACGCATTTATATGCAGCTTTTATTTTCCATTATTGTTAGCTTTTCTTTTTTTTATGGTCATGCTTTGTTCTTGGTTGTGTGCACATCATTTCATCAGACATGTTCAGGCTTCTTACTGTATCTTAGGGGTCCTTGGGGAACTTCATTTTATAGAAAACTAGTATATAATAACTGAGAGATGTCTTCTGCTTCTTGTAATTGTCAGAAGAGAAAAAACTATATYTTAAGAAGTATTCTGCATTTGAATGAACAGAAGAAGTGGGGAAAGAAATGTCGAAGATTGTTGAAGAAATGTTGAAGTTGTACTAGAAATACTTTATTTCATTATCTTAAAAAGCAACAACTGAAGCATGTGTTAGACACTATCCTCATTAACTGATGAGTCATGTTATTGCAGGGATCCAGGTAACAGGTTTTGACTATTTTGAGCCTGAGCATGGTGATCAGAACTGAAATAACCTTGGTATTCTTGCTCTGAAAAAATGTCACTTCAAGCAGAGGACTCTGTATACTTTGGGTGCATGTGATCTTGAAATGGATTTTGAACTCTCCTTCYCTACTACAAAGTATTTCAATTATGCAAAACATTTCCTCCTTCCCAGAGGAAAAAACAGGTCCCAGTTTGTGGCACTCGCTACTTACCATACTAAACCAAACAGGTTTAATATAGGAGAACTGGTGGATTGGATGGGCAGTAATCTGTTTTCTTCAGGCTGCCAAGTGCTCCCTTTGCTGTGAGTCTCAAAACAGCAGGAAGTCTCTGTAGTGCATCAAAAATGCAGCCCTATACAGGACAGCCTCAGCTTCCTAAAGTTCATGTATTCCTAAAATCTGTCAACCTGATAAACTGCAGGTAGGCAATTTGTGCCAGCTTGGGAAACTTCCAGGTCAGTGCTGAAGCTGTGGTGAAACTTGCAGGTCACTGTGAAACCTACAGATTAGGTATCTGTATGATGTACAGTGTAGTCTCCATATAGAATCAATGAGGTCTAATCCTATAGGATTTAAGGTCTGCTGTGTGTTTGTCCATGTCTTTAAGGAAGTGATTGGAGATTGTTCCTTGTATTGTTGTGAAGTTTAATTAACTATTTGCACCAATACAGAGGACAGTGTTCTCCACATTAGATTATGTCATGTCAATTTTCTAYGGACTCCAACTCCTTTTTATTATTTTAATATTGAAAAAAGAGGCCTAGAATACTGTAAGACATCTATTTTCATTGCAGACATCCCTGGTTCACAAGGTCAGGAAGAAAGATCAGGTGATCAACAGATCAAAAGACATAACCATTTAATTTYATTCACATCTGCTTACCTGAGGCTTGTGTCTTGAGGTCAGAAAGACCCCAGACCTCCCTCAAAGACATCAATAATCAACTAATTAATCTTTTGCTTGAGTTCCTTCTCCTAATATTTAAAATCAGTAAACACTGTTCAAAGAATATGCCTCATCTCTAATTTTATTTTTGACCTTTGTTAATCTTCAACCGTGGCTATTCTGAGCCTTGCTCACTAGATTGAAAAGCCCTGGAATGCCTGGCATTTCTGCCCCTGCCCCCTTCCCCCCCAAGATACTCATACACACAATAAAGCCCAATTMTCAAGTTTCTTTTGTGCCCTGTGTACAACCCCAGATCTTTATATCCCCTGTTTTAACTTGTTTTCTCCAGCCTAAGAAAATTACCTTTGGTGTGYCTATTTTGAATTGTTATCAAAATAGCAACATGGCATTAGAGAGTCAGCATAACATTCTGAATTTATTATTTCTTCCATTACTGCAGCTTTCCTCTGTAATCAAACATTATCTAAAGTGTTTCAAAAATAGAAACAGGCCAGAAAGCAATTTCAGAATACAGATGTCATTATTTAATCTCACTGTAATTGTAGTAAAAATTACTCCTTCCTCAAACAACGGAGGAAAACAAAGAGGGCACAGTTCCCAGGAATATGATAACTGCTGTATCCTTCTGGAGAAGAGCCAGCAAAAGCATTTGCAAGTCTGCATGCTACAGCTTACTTGGACACTACACTAYATACAGCATTTGTCTAAAGCACATTCCCATGTCTCCAGGCACTTTTGTCAGCATTCAAATGAATCTCTGCAAAACAGAGATGAAATTTAAAAAAACCCAGCAAAACGCACAGCCATCTGGCCACCCACAACAGCAGTGCAGTAACACTGAGTGCTGCACACCCTGCACTGGCCACATGTGAGATCTGGAAACCAGGGTGTGCAGAAGCAAGTGTGGACTGCCATGGGGCTATACAGGCTGGGGAAGAGTTAAGTTCATGCAAACAGCTCAGTGGCTTGTCTTGGGAAATGYTCTGCTCTGCTCATGCTGCCTGCCATGAGGATCAAGAAAGCAAATCTTAAAAGTCACCAGCACCATAATCCTGTTCTGGAGCAGATAAAGTGGTTGCTGTTCCCAAGAACTGAGCTTTGATATATACCCTGCTCTACTGTTGCCCTGATGAGTCTCATCTGCTCTATTTTGAAAAGAAAAATCACAGAATAAAACCAAAACCCATATGCTAAACTTTAAGCATTGAGCCTGGACAAGGCCAGAGCTCCTGAGAAGTCTGGGGGGAATGCTGGCTTGGCCAAAGTGGTCCTGCCATCTGCAGACCCTCAAGGAAAAACAGTACTTGCATGATGTGCATGGGCAATTCATGTTCCAAAAGGAGCTGGCTGGCAAAGGCTTTCCAATTTTTTATGACCTCTAATACCAGAAAGACCTGAAGCATAAACACCTTAGCCTGCATCAGGCAAGACTTTGCAATCCAACCAGGAACACATAAAAAAGCACAGAAAAATCTCTGCTATACACAGCATTACTTTTCTTCCCTAAAGAGGGTTCATCTAGTAAGAGCTTGAAACTCTTAATTCAATGCTTTCATCATGGGGCCAGGGCTGAGGTGCATGAAAATTACTTATAAATCATCCAGCTGAGGTTTTGCAGATGCTTTCTTGTGTGGGAAGCCAGGTCTTGTGTCCCTGGAGAGCAGGGACTCCAAGCTGTGGTGGGCTCAGGGACCACTCTGGGACATGTGACTCCCCACAGGGTATGGCTCAAGGGCACTGCAGCTCCAAGCACTACAGAGGGCCTGGACAGAATCATGGGCAAAGCTTCTGCCTGCATCTTCAGAGAGTAWGAACCTCTGGCAGTGACTTCAGCTCTGGGGTAAAGAAATAACCTGATGTGTTAATGTCCACTTAGCTGGTACACTAGCTGTGAGCTGTGAGGTTGTAGCTAGCTARAAGGAAAAACTGTATTTCAATTTGTAGCATTGTGAACTTGTATWAGAAAAAGCTTTCTGTTCTACACTTTGGAATTGTTTCTATCTTTTTAACTGGTAAAAAGCAAACAAAGATTTTTGCAATATTTTGTGTATGTGTGAAAGAGAAAAATCTTTCTCTGTGCTTGGCATTGCAGCCTTTCTGCAGGTGRTGAGTAAATAAATGAGAGGAAGAATGTGAAAATGAAAATCCTCCTGGTTCCCACTATCTTATCCAGCTGGGATAGTACTCTTCCCCTGCCAGTTAATAGTATTAGTTCAGACTTATTCATGCTCTTTTGCTTCTCAGCACAGAGTTTTAGAAATGGAAAGCTAATGAATCCAAGAGAAGGAAGAGACTTGATTTCAGAACTGTATGTCAAGACAAGAATCTTTTAAATATTTGCTGCTGGTTCCATCTGTAGTTATTTAAGAGGAGCAAAAAGAAAAAATCCTATTACCTTGTCACTCATCGTGCACTTTGAGTCCTCCTGGATTTTTTCTAAGCTTGCACAGTGAAGCAGAGATAGTTTTAATTCATGTGTATGTAATAAACTTCCCTGTTGCACTCCTATTATTCCATTTTTCATGCCTCAGAAAACATGAAGGTATTGCTTAYATGGTTAAGAATTCTCCTGACTGCTGAACAGAAGTTTTCTGCATCCTTCCAGGCTGAAGTCAGGATAGCACTAACTGTGCAGCAGAAAAGAGGCATCTACTAGAACCACCACCAGGCTGGGCTTCTTCCAGGTACTGAGTGAAAGCCACGTGGAGCTGCTGTGCTGTAAACCAGGAGACCTCTCACAAACAAACAATAAATGTATTAGTATACGTGCACATCAGGCAGACTCCAGAGGRCTCCAGAGTTGGGAGCTCAAAGGAGATTTTCTTCCAGAAAACATGGAATAAACAGGGAGCAGTGTAGTTGATTGGCTGTGCTCAGGGGAAAACAGATGTGAACTGGCTGGTAGACTTTCGCATCATCCACCAAAGCCCCTCAGCAGTTAAATATGCCAACATCAAGAGTGAGAAGTGAAAGGAAGATTGCTGAAACATGGAAGATGGGTGAAACCTTCAGTCTGGCAAAGTAGACCTTGATGTCACCTGTCCCTGGGAYCCCTGCCATGGTGCCCCATTCTCTACTGCCATGCAGAGGAGGAGGTGATGGCAGATGAAGGGAAGAGCCACAGTAGCTGAGAAACCACCACAGACTACCCCTGTATTCTAGACAAGCCCCAAACATGTTATCCCTGTGTTACAGCAAGTCTCTGGGTACAGGAGACTAAACTGTCCTCTGGTCAACCTTCTCCATCCCTCACCCTTCATGGGACATCACAGCCACTCTGGCATTTATTTAAGATCAAGTCTTGTCCAAAGAGGGACATGGAGGCTCCTTGCTGGCTCCACTCCAAGCAGTTCCCTGCCCACCTCTGCAATCAGGGGCTCCCTTTGCTTCCCATGGTGGCCAAGCTTGGATGTGCATAGCTGACCAGGCAGCTGGCACATCCACATGGAGGACCTGCCAGAAAAATTTCATTTCTTGTTACGATCTTGGAAAAGAAATCCTCTGTGGATTTCTCTCTCAGATATGACACTGTGTGTGTTTATGCTGGCTGGAAAAGTGAGGGATCCCTGAGTGCTCTCAGCTGGAGGGGGGGTACTTCAGGAGAGCTGAATTGCAGGGAGACCTTCACCACCMCTCCAACACCTGCAGGTTGTCAGGTGAGGGAAACCCAACCACTCAGCTCAAGCAGCTTTTCTCGACAGATACGGCACAAAGTGCTCTGAAGGAGTAACTCCTGCTTGCAGCAGTTACAGGGGAGAACTCAGACTTTCCACTGAGCTTGGAATGAGAGCTCCCTGCAGAGCCAGGCCACAGCAGGGAAAGGGAAAAATTAAGAACTCCCCACAGGATAACAGCCTGAGATGGCTTATGGTCTTAATTCCTTCCTTTGCAAAACAAAAAGCACACRGTTTGATTAAGGGAGCCTTTTGGAATAGATGTATTTGGACTCCTCCTTCCCTCCCTTGCCAAGCTCACAGAGTCCTGCAAAAGCTCTCACAGCAGCTACGTCTCTTTTTATTTAATTCTCCATTTCACATTTTTCAGGTCAACACTTGCAGTAACATAACTGCACCATGGAGAGCTAGGACACCAGATAGGATTCCATCTAGCAGCTCAACAAGCACCCCAACCACCCAAAAATGAGTCTTTATGCCACYGTAGAAGCCCAGACTGGCAAACATAGCATAAATGAAGTTGCTAGAGAAGATTGCTTTTCAAGGAGATGGATTTTAAGCTAGGACATGCTTGAGCTACCTTGCATAGCACCAGGTTGTTTTAACAAAACAGCTTCTTGGGTTGCTTGTCAGACATCCCAGTTGCAAACAGAAACAAACCCAGTTACAGTTGCATCTCCCTGCAGCAGAGGGGATGCACAACTGGTGAGATGTGATGAAAGCTTCCTCATGCCCATAAAGCAGCAGCTTTGCCATTCCCTGAGCAGGTCATTAAGGCATGATGCTTGTGTCACCCTGTCATGCTGAGTTTTCTTCAAACCTGTTCCACCTTTGCAATTTAAATGGACACACACTGAACACAGCATAACACTACATCTGCCACATGCTTCCCACTCCTAACCCCACTACCCCATAAAATCTCCTTAGAGTAGAAATGGTACCATGGCTCCAAAGGGTAAGAACAGTGCAGCTATGAGATTTTCCCTGCTGTCATGCCAGGACACAGTCATGGGGTCCACTAACACCCCAAGGGCGCAAGGGCAGCCTTGGGTCTGCCACTGGGCATGTTCATCACCTAAACCTAGTCCTCGACTGTTCCTGACCTACTTAAAATACTACTGTGACTCATATGTTAGGAAGGTGAATTGGTATTTGCAATTAAGTCATATTTGCATTGATATCCTTATCATAAAGTCTGGGAGACTTGCAGGAAGAGTTGAGTTTGGTCTCACAGACTATCTTATTACTTCAGGTTGAGGTGCAGAACTCTACTAAAAATATGAAAAGTCCAGTAGTGGTGTTTTATCACCTAAAACAAAACTCCTTTGTGAGTACAAAGTAGGATGTTTTCAAAACTCCTCAAAAGGCTGATTATAGACTTKATGTATACACACTTAATAGAAGTGATGACTAAATACGCTTAGGAGTGAAATTTCATTCACTTTTCTTCTTCTCTTTAACAGTTCCATCCAAAGACATTTTGCACCTAAGGAAGTGTTAGGCCAGTTTGCCTATGTGCACCTAAAGAACATCTGGAGTGGAATACCTCTATTTTCAGTCATGACATTTATTCTGCAGTCATATGTTCACACCAAATCATGAAAAAAAAAAAAAAAAAAACCCAAACCAACCTTGTGGTGGTTTTATATTCTTCTCTGATCAGAGATGAGCAAGCAAAAGGTGTTTCTCTTGAGAGAGAGGGAAGAAGGGGTTAAGCAGTTTCAAAACAAGCTGGGCACAACTGATGTCAGAYTTTTGTCTTACAATAGCATCTCTCTGCTTTCCCAGCAAGCAGTATATGAATCACTGGGCACTGCATTGTTTCAAGGATAGCAGAAAATGCCACATATCTTAGTAGTGGATAGATTTTCTCACTCCTCATTAGGTGGAAGTTCTTGTTTGTTCAACTACTCCAGAGAAAAATCCAATCAGAAACTCCAGAAGAAAAATCTGGTTTGGTGTTTGTTTGGGTTTTTTTGTTTGTTTTAACTGTTGTTTCCTCGGTCTGTCTCTGATGAAATTGGCCCAACTGTACTCTGTGCATCTTCCCAGTGTCACTGTAATAATGTATCCTCCATATAAGATTAAAAGCAAATCAGAATCATGAAAACTATGACTGTCCTCTAAATTTTCTGAAAGCCTCCCCTGGACATTCTGAAAAACTGCAGGGGAGTAAAAGTAAAAATTGTGACTGTTTTTCCACATGGCTATTTCAGATTATTACAGATATGAGGATTTAGAGCAAAGTTAACAGAACAGAAAATCTACTAAGTTTAAAAAGAAATTTAATGCTGAACTTGCCAAAACAGACCTGCTGACTGAAAACAAGTTCTCAGTGTAGCCACACTCGGTTCGCATGCATTTTTATTAAAGCCCCTGAGCAGTGTCTGTATTCATTTTCCATGCATTCCCAGTTGTTTTTGTTTTATATATTATACGCAGTCCCCATTGGTACTCCTACCACAGAGACCTAGCTAGCCATGATGCTGAGGTGGCAGCAGGTAGGGACCTGGCTACACCAAGATGAGCAAAGGGGAACTTCAAAAATTGGCTCCAAACACCATTTCCAAGTTTGAAACAGGTTTCAGAGAAACAATTCTGTACTGTAATGCCACAGCGCTTTTATGCTTTCCAGCTGAAAGCATGACTTCTGTTATTTTTATATCTTCTTTGGAAGAGCAAGACTCAGGGAGCCGCCTTCAACTTCGGCACAGGGAGCTGGCAGCCGTGAGGAGCATCACAGCACAGAAATGCAAGTACTCACCCGTCATCAGTGTGTAGTAATTTGGATAAGAGAGGCTGGGGAAGTCTGGGGTCATGTAATCCACCTTCACCCCCATGTTCACAATGTCCCGAAAGCCCGGCAAACCCTCCAGCTCGCTGTCATCAATGTAGTCGAAGCGAAAGCCGTCGAGTAGGAACACCAGGAGCTTGCGGTGGGCCGAGGGCGCGACGGGACGCGGCAGCAGCGCGGTGAGGGCAGCAGCCAGGAGGGCGGCGAGGAGGCTGCGGCTCTCCATGGCAGGCAGCAGTGAGGGATCTGCGGCGGCTCCGGGGCCGGAGCTGGCACTGCTGTCCCCCTCCCGCTTCCAGCGCCCGCGTTAAAGCTACAGCGCTGCCCCGCGCCGCGGGCGTGGGAGGTCACAGGTTAATTGCGCGCAGATGATTAATCTCGAGCTGAGGGAGGTGCTCGGTACTGCCCAGCTGCAGGAACAATAGCTTCGCAGCGGGGCACGCACGGCATGAAAGTAACTGGACCCTCTCAGGACACTCGGCAGACACAGGCGAGGCAGGGCGGGCACGCTGCCCGCTGGCCCCCGGCGCGCTCCCAGCGCCGCTGGCAGGGAGCGGAGCTCGCTCGGTGGCCKGCCCGGCTCCGCGCAGGGAATGCGGCTCGCAGGGGCTCGCACAGAGGGGYTGCGGTCTTTCAAACACAGCCTTACATCTCCAGCAGCGCCAACGCGCGCTTGCTTTTYCTCTCTCCGGCAGTGGTTTCTGATAGAACTCAGAGTGAGATTAAGGCAAAGCATCTTTCCAGTTGGGAAGTGCAGTATGTGTGAGTCGAGATCCATGCGTTTCCATGGCACGGCGGTACCACAGAGCATTAGCTGAGCAAACTCACCTCTCTCTATATGGATGCAAGTCCCTGCTTCTTCTGTGCTGCCCTSGGACTAATCCAGCTCCTGATGCACCAGCAGAAAAATCAGGCTTCAGCTAGATAATAATTGATATATTTATTTTCTGGTGGTTGATATTATTTAGCTATCCACTGCTGGATGGTGCCTAATTTCATATTAAAAATTTAAAAATGTTCACATTTTAGTCATGAGTCATCACTAGGTTTTTCTCCTTTGCAGCAACCTAACTATAACTCTAATGCAATGCCAGCACCTATTGTATGTCATAACTGCACATTAATTTGCTTTACTTCAATTCTTTTTCACAAATAAAAGAATTTCATAGCATTCCTAACATTGTCCAGCTCTCTGTGGAAAATACCCTTTGCACATATTTACAGCTGGGGAAGGTTGTGATAGCTGGCCACCACTCCAGGTGTGGCCATCTGAACTTCTCTTTGCTCCTTACAAACCTTCCCACTGCACATCCAGCACATCCAGTTAGCCCTTATCAAATACTGGGCTCTTGCAAGTGCAGCAAGACAGCTTTCAGCCCCCTTTGCCCCAAACACTTATTTGGCCCYTTGCAAACACCCTTCGTGTCCTGGCTTGCCTTTCGCACAGTGTTACACTGGCTGCTGCAGTCCATGAGCCAGAGCTGCTGCCTGCAGGCCACCRCTCCCAAGACATAGGCTGGAGGGGTGCTGTCCATGCTCTCCTCCCACAGGGCTTCCAGCTCCAGAAAGAAGATGCCTTGTCAGGGGAAGGGGTGCTGGGATTTTCTGTAGTGTCTGTGAACTAAATGCACTATTCATGGACATCTCCCTCTCCGTGACATGCCCAGCCCCTTTTTTTTCTTCCTTTTTTTTTTCATGTGCCCCATTTTCCATCCCCATCTTGGAGCCCAGCACTTGGTTCATATCCTCCCATTTGTTTAGATCTGAGCTGAGGACTTGGAGCATTTCTAAGCTCCAACGGATCTTTAAAGCAACATAGGGAACTAGCCGTTCAGGGCTTTATCCCTCCACATAACATTTGCTTTTGAAGGTTTGCAATGCTAGCTATCATCCTCCTGACAACTTTAATTCTATGTTTTGACTTTTCTTATCTTACTTGGCTTTAGTTAATTTGTTTTCTCACAGTGCAGCAGCAGTTTTCTCAGCAAAAACCAACCCAGGGTCACACAGCTGTGTTGCACCTTGTGTCAGAGACAGCTGAGCACYGGGGCCATCCGTAAAGCTTTGTGCCCAGGAGAAGGACATCTGGACTCTGGTCCCCAGTCTGCTGGGATGATAACAGGTCCTGGTCCCCTGAGCAGACATTGCCTGGGAGAGCCAGGCGGTACTGGCCTGCTCCAGCCTGAACTTTGAAGGAAAACACACTAATCCTGCCATGCGAGGGAAAGCCCCAAGGCTGCGTGACCCGGGCAGTCGGTCTGTGCTCTGACAGCGTCCCAGCCTGTGCAAGGCTGCCACTGCCCTGCCCACAGGCACAAGGCTGCAGCTGCACACCAGGCTGCTGGGAGACGTGACAGCCTGGGCAGTGCTGTGGGCAGCTGCCTGCCTGAGAGATGGCACGTACTGTATGTCACCCCTACAGTCACCACTCTTCTCAGCCATCTCCAGACTCCACAGRGTCTCAAACAAGGATCTGCCACTTCATCCATCTCCTGAAGGGAATATTCATGTCCTCCTCCTGCTGCCCCTGGCTGGACTTCCAGGATGGGAGGTGGCCCTGCACTAGTGCTTACTGTGGATTTTCACTATGGCAGAAATTGTACATTATGGGCTGGGAGCCRCGTGTAGTGTCATGTCTTGGCCAAGCCATTGGGGTAATTTATTATGTCCATACTTATGTAGAATGAACTCAGAAACATGTCCAGAAAGCAGGAGGGAAATATTATTATGCACCTCTTGGCAGACCCGTGAGGACATTCACATCATTGCCTTGGCTTATCCTCTAATGGGTTTATCAGCAGGGCTCATGCAGGAAAGGGATAATAAAGTGTCTGAGATGGACTCTCACCTTGAAAGGATAGCCASGTTTCTGAGGTGGTTAGACCAAGAAGCCAGGCTTGGCAACGCTATCTGAGCTGACTCAGTGGTATGAGAGCCAACTGGTGCAAGGTACCAGAGCTCAAAGTCTGCCTTAGGAATTGGAGATTCACAGGTTTCCACTCAGCAAATAAGAGTAAGGCCTAAGAGGGGTTAAAGGACTAATGAGCCACATAACCATGATGCTGTATAATACCAACTTGTGTTTTGACAGACAATCCCCCTGAAGAGTGGGACTGAAGCCAAACAGTCTAGCTTGGCAGAGACAGATMCTAGCAATACATTTCATTCCTGCCAAGCAATGTTGATTTGCTTTGGTTCACATTCATTTGTAAGCACCCTGTCTGCACAAAGCCCCAGATGGCTGTGGAGACTCCAGCACAATAATATTTTGATACAAATGCTCTTATAAAAGCTATCAGAGCCTGAGCTGGTGTCCAGGGACAACAGTCCTCACTAGTTAGCTGTTAGACAGGGTTTAGAAAGAAGCATGCATTGAGGAAAGAAAATCCCTCAACTCAAATTGCAGATGAGGAGATACCTCATTGATCCAAAATTGTTTGAGAAAATATTCTCAATCACTTAGATTACTCAAGAAATCCCCCTGGCAAAAACTGTGTCATGTGTCCTTGAAGCTTTTTTTTTCTTCCAGTCCYGCAGAAATCACAAACATGGCAATAGAAATGAAAGAAAATTCTCTGGGTTCACACCAACAGTTCAATCTGCCTTGCCAGATATATGAGCCTTCCTGGCATCACAATTCTATCTATGCTCTTGGATCTAGGAGCCCATGCAACAACAAAAGCTGCTAAAAGTAAAACATGGTTTCCTTTCTCCCAGTGAACTGGAAAATCTGAGGGAAACTTGTCCTTCTTTCTTGTTTAAAAGAAAGATAAGAAGTCATAACATGACTCRTTGTCAGCTTGTAATTCCTTCTCAGTTCCTGTTCTCCTTCACATACAACAGTAGCTGAACACTTGGCCAACACAGCCTGACTTATTAGTTTGGTTATTTCTTTCCTCTCATTAGAGAAGAAGGCAGGCCACATCCAGACATAAAAGCTGCTTGCACTTCTTTGAAGAAGAGGAAGAGGATTTGTGCCGGTTTGAAGTTTAATTCTGCTGGACTAATGTTCTTCTTCCGCTTCTCCCCACCAAACCTGAGATTAAAAAGTCATACGTGGTACAAGCCCCTCTACTGGCTTCCCTAGAAAACCTCTGGCAATACGTGTGTATCCCTCCTGGGCTGACAAGGAAACCTTAACTTGGTAAAAGTCATTGGCTGCGGAAGTTTACTATCAGTTTCTTTGCTCCTGCCCTTGAGCATTCTCACAAATGCTTCGCCATGGAGGTGTGCATTAAGCAAGGCATCTGCTGCTCCTTCAGATCTTCTGTAAACATACTTTATGTCAAGTCAGTTATTTCTGCAATCCTATGGTGAGCAGTAGTTCAGTCATGAGGAATTCAAGAGATAAGAAGTGGGTTGCTCTTGCTGTCAGTCATGTGCAGATGTATATGATAAAGTCACACACTTGTTAGCTGCAGAGCATTTCAAAGCTACAAACTGCAGCTTTCCTGTAGAAAAGCAGTGATCTTTCACTGTTTCTTGAGGCAAAGTTTTCCTCTAACCTACCCATCTGGTATGACACTTGCGCTACTGAAAACATTCACTCCCTGGCTAATGAGTACATCAAAGTGCGACAGTGATCACCCTGACTGACAGACAGGGGCTGTTTAATGTTCTTTGACGTGCCTCAATTCAGGCATCTGTGATGGGTGGAGAGCACCTCTCCAAATCTCTTACTACAACAGTCACWGGTCACTTTAATAACTTTTCTAATTGAAGAATATCTCCTGGAAATGAAGAAATTCAATGAACTAATGGAGMCCCCTCAATGGCTCCCAGTTTCCTTGCAAGGAGCTGCATGGGGTTGGTGCATCATTGTCAGTGCTACTCTGTGAATGCTCCCTGACAATGGTCTCCTTGAGGAACAGCCTGTGCTTTCATTAAACATAATTAGAATGAACAAAGAGGGTGGTTCTTCACACCATAGCACTATTCGGGTATGCAAGGCCTTTTCCCTGCAGATCCTGCTTGTTAAAAGCATTGAGGGGACAAGATGACAGGATAAAAGTGCACCCAAGTCTGGTAAACACAAGCAACACTGGCTCCAGCCATCCTAGGACTTTATGTTCTTACAGAGGGTGAGCAAGAGTATTTATTCAGTTTGAGAATCTCTCGAGCATTTTGCTTAGTACCTCTATTCACCCAATGTTACACGATCACTACCCAGACCTCCAAGATAATCTTCTTTTAATGGTTTTCCTTGTTCAATAATCACAGCTTGCTCTCAGCCCACTTCACACAGATACCTGAACTGTTGCAGTGGGCATTCATAGCCAAGCAGAAAAGAAAAGAGTAGGGGTGACAGCAGCAGGGGGGATATGTCTCCAAGGGACTGAACACAGTGCTGCCCT